TCAGTAGGGGGCCCCATGAGATGCCCCTGGTACCTTTTTCATAGGTTTGTTTGAGTTTGGGCATGGACACAGGGGCCCCATGATTCCCTATTGCCCAGGGGCCCCATGAGTTGTCAGTCCGCCCCTGCCAAGTCCTTAAAATGTCATATTGTGTGCTGTAGGGGGGCCCTACTCGCAAGTCCAGTATATAACACACAGCTAGACTGGAAATATTTGACTCGGCCTAGAACATGTGTTAAGCATGCGTCTAATCTGATCATTGGCCATGCCATATAATGGAGGGACCCCTGGCAGAAACAGCATCTTTAGTTAAGTATTCTTGTTATATTTTCTTTTTATCTGTATCTGTCATTACTTGTGATAAATGTTTTACTTATAAGTATTTGTGTGATCTCTCTTTATCATATCGAATACAAGCCCAAAACCCTAACAAAACAACATCTTTGAGATGCAACTGAGGAGCAATAATTACCTGTTTTTGTTGCTTTGTGTACTTTGGGGAATGTCAAAACTCCTGTTGGGTTTTTTGGTCATTCCGTTGGGAGATTTACTTTTACTTCTGGTCCCAAAGACCCCATAGAAAGTAAGAAGAAATCTTCCAAAAGTACAGACATTCTCCTGTTACACAATGGACCGTATCTCTATTTTTATTAGAGCAACAATTCCAAACTTTGGGTTTTCCTTTACTTTTATGTCCTTCTTAGTGGGAAAAAAAGCCAGCAAAAAAATGAAATTAATTTCTTCCCCTTCCTACTCCAGCCAGCCAAGAAAAGGGACAGGCTCAACTAGTAGTGGCAGTTATAAACTATACACAGAACAGAGAAAATCACAAACACTTTTTTTTCAGTAAGGCAGCAAAAAAACTCAGTTTAATGCAGAAGGACTTTGTATAGCAAGTCACTAGCATAAAACAACCAAAACATCTGATTGTCCCGACAACTAACTAAACTCCAGGCTGGTTCCTAATGTGTTCCCCAAAACAAACAAGTAGTACTTGTACCTTTTAGTATTCTGTCAGCACTCAGCCTTTTTACCTAGCAGCAGGTTCCAACAGCAGAGAGAAAGCCCTAAGCATCAGTTCACTCAAATATAGAATGCAGGCATTATCTAACTCATAGCACTACAAAGCTTTCAGGACCCGGAATAGAACATTTTAGGAACCAATATGATACCTCTAGTGACTTGTACCCCACTGGTGACTGCAGCTTCTTTCTTGGAAAATGTCACTCACATGCACGGTGATCACCACTGATATAGATGTCACCACTGAAGTTCTGATGATGATCTTCACTAAAGCACAGTGATCACAGTGGGTCACTCGCTGTGCAGCTTCTCCATTCAGAAACTTACTTCATGCATTTGAAAAAATACAAGGTGTTGTGTGATTGGACAAGGGGCATATAAATGCCACAATCTCCCCTTCTCCAATCACAGAATGCCTTGTACTCACCATGTAATCAAGAGATACACCAAGAAGCAGAGAATGTAATGTGCAATATGTCACAATTACAGCATTAATACAAATGTAAAAAAGGTGCAAAATGTAGCTTTCTTCACCACTAAAATAACTGATGGAATTATTTGTTCCCTCATTAGATCCCTCTGAACTAAAACTGGCCATAAGTTAGATGCAGATGTGTCCCCCAATCCAGCTTTATTTTTGATATGATCCAATGACCATCCCAATTCTATGGTTCTAGCATACATCCATAGCCAAAAATCCTGGGGTGGAGGCAAGGGGGATCGATCAGACAGGCTGGGAAATTTGATCCTATTCCTTCTGTATTGATCTGTCTTATAATTGTGCTGTCTCCCTTTATATTGTAAAGCATTGCGTAAACTGTTGGTGCTATATAAATCCTGTATTATAATAATAATAATAATAATTGTAGTAGTTCTTCTTGAGCAAATCTGGCAACATAGAGATCTCCTCCTTATTCCTCCTCTTGCTTCTATATCCAAGGGTGCAAATTTGCATAAAAAAGCATCTAGAAAGATCTCTTTGATCATCTGTATTCAATGGCCATTCGAATATTTGTAAATTGCAATGCTTTAGACAACATTTGTAATTCTAATGGGGAAGGAAAGGCACTGACAGGCTTACTCAAGGATTAAGGCAACATTGTGGTATTGGAAAATTTTAGTTGGTCCAACATTGTTTAGTATAAACAAAATGTAGTAAAAATAGATCTAACGCCAAAACCTCTTTTACATTTATTCACAAGCACACAATCCTTCCTAAATTTTGCTTTTATATGTAATGCATAGATATATTCAATTGCTCATACATGTTCTTATTTGATGCCTTAGTATTGTTAAGGTTCTAGAAATGTGTTGTAGAAAAGCGTGTATTAGTTTAACCATAATATTGTGATTACACCAAGTGCTAGCTGCTATTAAAATGATAGAATAAAACATCATAGAGATTAATGTGTTCATAATCTGTCTTCACCTTGTGCTTCTTGTATCTCTTCATTGCTCCCATTAACTTGTTAAATTAATATAAGCATGTACAAAAGTAGATGACAACAAGTACAGTATGTTGTAAATGAAGACAATGAAAATTTCACAGTGCTATTTACTGGAGCTGAAAATGTGGGATCCGTAATCTGTATTATGGGGTAGGGGATGGCCTAATGGACACAGTTTACAATGCTGTAATTAACATTGCTTATTTTTGTCAACACCTGCAAAGCACATGCTATTTACAACACATCCTCGGTGCATTGAATAATAAGTAGCTTTATTAAGGCCTCATCTTTTCTAGAGTAGCAGATTAAAATGTAATTTTCTATCCCAGGAGAATAAGAATTTTATAGACACTGGTAAGATGAAGGCCACAGACATCAAAGCCGTTTTGTAGGAGCTTGTGAACCACGTGTGGCTCTCACTAAACCCTGATATTGCTTGCAGAAACATCTCAGAAGGATCCTGTGGCTAAAATTCTTCTCTTATCTGAACATCTGAACAGCATGAAGAGAAAGATACCTAATGGTTAACAATTAACAATGATTTTGAAGTATGATGTTTGCATATTTTTATAGGATTATATATAAATGTTACAAAGTGGCAAACATCTACAAAACATTATAGCAAATGTATACTGGAGACGTACGTATTTTCTTTATTTATCACGGTGAGTACTAATAAGAATATGATTTATAAAAATATATTTTAAATTTTATATAGTTGGATAACATATAATATTAAGTTAGTTATTATATTACATATATAATATTAAGTTAGGGGAGTTTGTGCATTTAGATTGAATATGTAGAATATATATATATATCTTAGATTGTAAGCTCCAAGGAGCAGGGCCCTCCTAACCAGGGGTGGACTGACAACTCATGGGGCCCCCCGGCAATAGGGGATCATGAGGCCTCTGTGTCCTTGCCCAAACTCAAAAAAGCCTATGAAAAAGGTATTAGGGGCATCTCATGGGGCCCCCTACTGACCCCGGGCCCTCGGGCAGTGCCCGAGTTTCCAAATGGTCAGTCTGCCCCTGCTCCTAACCATCTTGTATTGAACTGTATTGTTGCTGTATTGTCTCCTGTTTTATTGTAAAGTGCTGAGCAAACTGTTGGCGCTATATAAATCCTGCATAATAATAAATATATATATATATATATATATATATATATAAATCTACCTCTTTGTACTAAGTATACAGTTATTGTAGACACAGATTATAACAATATACTTTTTTTTTACTTTTATATACTGTGTCACATATTATTTGTGTCACAGTTAGGGACTAATAAGTTTATAAGAGCTAAAAACAGAAGTATAATAGCATTTGTTTCCGACCTATTGTTCCATGCCATGTTTTATAGGAATTAAGAATTAGTGTGCTTTAAAGCCTCTTTGTTTTCACATTTATTGTACTGGTTGAAAAAAGAAATGATTCCTGATATACGTCACAGTAGGCATCTGTTTTTATATTAAGTTGCCAATAATGTCAGATTTTTGTTTATCAACGTGTATATAGAGTACACGATGAAGTTTTTATATTTATATATTAATATTAAGCAATCTTCTGTCCATCCATTAGATGGGACTCTATTCTCCTTTTATACATCATTAGCATGCTTCCTTTACAGATGTACTGAAAGAACCCAATTTTTACAGAACGTGAGCCAGACATCAAAACAGAGACTTATCTCCACTCAGACAGCTGAGCTTGAAGTTTCAGACAGCCAAAGAGAGCTGTAAAGCAAATTGCTCTGCTGTCCTGTCTTTGTATCTAGCCCATATTGCTCTGTAAACCCTTTGCCATGCATTTAATGTTTATTTGTAAAGCAAAAGAGTATATATATATATATATATATATATATATATATATATTGCCAAAAGTATTGGGACGCCTGCTTTTACATGCACCTGAACTTTAATGGCATCCCAGTCTTAGTCCGTAGGGTTCAATACTGAGTTGGCCCACCCTTTGCAGCTGTAACAGCTTCAACTCTTCTGGGAAGGTTGTCCACAAGGTTTAGGAGTGTGTCTATGGGAATGTTTGACCATTCTTCCAGAAGCGCAATTGTGAGGTCAGGCACTGATGTCGGACAAGAAGTCCTGGCTCGCAACCTCCACTATAATTCACCCCAAAGGTGTTCTATCGGGTTGAGGTCAGAACTTTGTGCAGGGCAGTCAAGTTCTTCCACCCCAAACTCGCTCATCCATGTCTTTATGGACCTTGCTTTGTGCACAGTCATGTTGGAACAGGAAGGGGCCACCCCCAAACTGTTCCCACAAAGATGGGAGCATCAAATTGTCCAAAAATTGTCTTGGTATGCTGAAGCCTTAGTTCACTGGAACTAAGGGGCCAAGCCCAACCCTTGAAAAACAACTCCACACCATAATAACCCCTCCACCAAACTTTACACTTGGCACAATGCAGTCAGGCAAGTATGTTCATTCTCCTGGAGACACGTCCATCGGATCGGATTGACAGACAGAGAAGGGTAGTTGGTCACTTCAGAGAACATGTCTCCACTGCTCTAGAGGTCAATGGCAGCGTGCTTTACACAACTGCATCTGACAATTTGCATTGCACTTGGTAATTTAAGGCTTTGATGCAGTGGCTGGGCCTTGGAAACCCATTCCATGAAGCTCTCTACACACTGTTGTTGTGCTAACCTGAAGGCCACACAAAGTTTGGAGGTCTTTAGCTATTGACTCTGTAAACAGTTGGCGACTTCTGCGCACTGTGCGCTTCAGCAGGTGCTGCCCCCGCTTTGTCATTTTTACGTGGCCTACCACTTTGTGGCTGAGTTGCTGTTGTTCCCAGTTGCTTCCACTTTGTTATAATCCCACTAACAGTTGACCGTGGAATATTTAGTAGCAAGGACATTTCACGGATGGACTTATTGCACAGGTGGCAACCTATCATGGGACCATGAGTGTGAGTAAAAAACCTATAAATCAATATTTTATAAAATTACAAACTGTTAGGGTGCCTTTACATTTGCAATTGGGGGGCAGTAAAACCCAGTGGTTGAGCTGCATTTTAACCCCCCTCACTGCTCTCCCTTTTGCTGCAGAGGCAGCAGATGAGCACACATCCTGCAGCAGCAAGGCTCTGCTTCATGCATGTTGCAGTAATTATACACACATTCTTGCATTTCAAGTGAATGGGACTATGCTGCATCTGCGCCACAGCTGCTTGCAACATCTGCATTTGAGCGGTTGTCCATTTTCTAGGAGTTTGAAACAGGCAGCGAGGAGACAATACAACAACTTCCACTGCCTGTGAAATGCTCACTAAAGAAGGACCCGAACTCGGGTTGCTCTTCAGAGAACAAAGCAGGTGTAAATGAGCCCTTCTAGTTTTGAAAAGTTGATGTTGTGGGTAGATGCCTTTGTTCCTTCAGTGACATAAATAGGTAATAACCTTGTTCTTTTTTTGTCCAGACCAGGAACAAATGCACATTAAAATATCAGTTGGCATTCTCAGTCCAGTACTTGAAAGACAGTGACCTGCTGCTTCATATTTCAGATCGCAGTGTATATTGAGTTGTATATTTTAATTATTAATACTCTAAAGCACAGAAGCTGTTCTCACAAAAGTCAGAGTTGCCCATATACCAGTCTGGGTATGTCCATTTGCAAAATTTGCACATTTCTGCACTACAGTGCACAAAGCTTGTTGCTTGACAAATATCAATCCTTCCCTTAGCTGTTAACTTGCAAAATAAACTATTTTTTATATAGTTAATTTGTTATCCTAGGTTCACACCTAAGCATTTTTTCAGCAGCATTTTGCAGAAATGCACTACAGTCCATTGAACATGATTTCCTGTTGGACACGTTCACATCTCCACGGTTTCACCACGTTTTTTGGAAAGGGTCATGGACTTTTTAAAACACAAAGAAACTGCATTTTTGGTTCTATAGACTCCAATGGAAATGCTGCAGAAAAGCATGTAGTGCATTTTTGCTGCATTTTAAGCTGCCTAGCAAAAAGAAAAAAACCCCATAAAACACATCAAAAAACATGGCAAAAACACGTCACAAGAGTATGTGCAAAAATGCAAAACACGCTGCAAAAAACACTGCAGAAACAGATCAAACACAAACTGCATAGGTGTGAACCTAGCCCAGGGGTGGACTGACAACTCATGGGGTCCCCAGGCAATAGGGGGATCATGGGGCCCCTGTGTTCTTGCCCAAACTCAAAAAAGCCTATGAAAAAGGTACCAGGGCATCTCATGGGCCCCCTACTGACCCCAGGGGATCATGGGGCCCCTGTGTCCTTGCCCAAACTCAAAAAAGCCTATGGAAAAGGTACCAGGGGCATCTCACGGGGTCCCCTACTGACCCCGGGCCCTCGTGCAGTGCCTGAGTTTCCAAATGGTCAGTCCGCCCCTGACCTAGCCTTAAGCATTTACTAATTAGCGTATTCACTAAAATTGTAAACAGGTATTTGCTAGTAAGTACTTTAACTGATAGTAACCAAATTTCAGATTACTGTAGTTGCATCAGTTAGGGAAAAAAAAATTCCTTTGACTGCTATGCGTTTCTATACTTTGCCTTTTGCACTACTACAAAAGCCTGCTATCTAAGTTTATTGAATAGCAGATTTTGCCAAAAAAGCCAGATTTATATAAGTGTGCAGTTTTACCCCCCCCCCCCCCCCACCCCACCCCACCTTGCTGCTGCAAGTGAACATGGCCACCATCCAAGTTTGTCATGTGCCTTGACGAAAATCATTCCACAGATCCCAATCGGCAGGAAGTACCTCTGCAAGAAGAAACCTATTCATCTGCCCTACAATTGCATGCAATGAACGCAGTTGCAACACGGCGCTCTAAGCTTTAAAAGGTTAGGACAAGCATACAAGAGGTGACATATATCTGATCCACTTGTCAAATGCAGTTTGTTTTAAGCCTCAAGTTACTTCCTTTATGGTGGATCACTTTTCAGATGGGTGGCAAAAACGGCTGCAAGTGTAAATAAGCTCACAGAGAATTCCTGCTTAGATCTGCATGTTTTATTGATTCAGACGTTTAAGGTTGAGAATGAAATGACAGTAGCCCTATCCAGCCATGGGGTCTGTGGTTGCAGCTGGCTGCTGTTCAAAGATACAGTACTAGTGATTAGACAGGATAGCTATCTCAATAGCTATTTTCTCCCTGATAAGCCAGTGATTGCAATGTCTTCTCCTACTGCACAGTCCTATCTGTATATTTATATAAACCTGAAAGCTAGGAAGATCTATTCTCTGAACATTTAGTGCTCTTAAGCTTACCACACACTTTACAATCTGATTGTATACAGTTGTGCTCAAAAGTTTACATACCCTGGCAGAAATTGTGAAATTTTGGCATTAATATTGAAAATATGACTGATCATGCCACAAAATGCTCTTTTATTAAAGGATGATGATCATATGAAGCCATTTATTATCAAATAGTTGTTTGGCTCCTTTTTAAATCATAATGATAACAGAAATCCCCCAAATGGTCCTGATCAAAAGTTTACATACCCTGGAATGTTTGGCCTTGGTACAGATACACAAGGTGACACACACGGGTTAAAATGCCAATTAGAGGTTAATGTCCCACATCTGTGGCTTTTTAAATTGCAATTAGTGTCAGTGTATAAATAGGCAATGAGTTTGTTAGCTCTTATGTGGAAGCACTGACTAGGCTAGATACTGAGCCATGGGGATCAGAAAAAGAACTGTCAAAAGTCCTGCGCAAGAAGGTAATGGAACTTTATAAAGATGGAAAAGGACATAAAAAAGATGTCCAAAACCTTGAATATGCCAATCAGTACTGTTAAATCACCTATTAAGAAGTGGAAAGTTCGGGGATCTCTTGATACCAAGCCAAGTACAGGTAGACCAAGAAAGATTGCAGCCATAACTGACAGAAGAATTGTTCGGGATACAAAGGGAAACCCATAGGTAACCACAAGAAAAATACAGGCTGTTCTGGAAAAAGACAGTGTGATTGTTTTGAAGGAGCACAATATGGTAACACTTGAACAAAAATGACCTTCATGGTCGAGGTGCCAGAAAGAAGCCTTTACTGCATCAATGACACAAAAAGGCCTGCTTAGGCATGTCAAGGTCTTGTCAGGCATATTGTAACTTGGCTTTCTTGTGGCATTGGTGCAGTAAAAGCTTCTTTCTGGCACCTCGACCAAACAGCTCATTTTTGTTCAAGTAGCACCGTATTGTACTCCTTAAAAACAACCACTCTCCATATATATATATACGTATATATATATATATATATATATATATATACAGTGCATATTCAAATGCGTTTTTATTACAAATATATGAAAAATATTTTTTAAAATACATTTCAAATATACTGTATGTCTGTAGATACAGATCTACATTTTTGGTATGCATTTACAAATATATGTAAAAATATGTTAAAATTTTTTTTCACATGTAAAAAAAAATCTGAAGAATAGATTTAAAAAAAAATATATTTTTAAAAAAGTTTTTTAAAAATATATTCTTCAGATTTTTTTTCAACATATAAAAAAAGTCATTTTAACAGATATTTTTACATATATTTGTAAATGCATGCCAAAAATGTAGATTTGTATTTTTAAAGACGCACAGTATATATCAAATTTATTTTTAAAAATATTTTTCATATATTTTGTAATAAAAACATATTTCAACGTGCAGTACACACACACAAGCATATATATATACATATATATATATATATATATATATATATTTTTTTTTTTTTTTTTTTTTTTTTTTTTAATATGGCCAAAATTTTAGTATTTCAAATATATGATTGTAAGCTCCACGAGCAGGGCCCTCACATTCCTTCTGTACTGAAATGTATTATAATTGTACGTTCTCCCTTTTATTGTAAAGTGCTGCGCAAACTGTTGGCGCTATATAAATCCTGTATAATAATAATAATAATAATATATGGCAATATATTTGGGAAGAATATTTTTAAAATATATTTCAAATATATTTTTCTTCCATATGGGAAGCTATGACTTGAATGACTCGTAGCTTGCTCAGGGTGGCTTCTCCTTCTCTTGGCAACTTAAAGGCATGTGGGAGCCAAGGAAAATATGTCAGTGCTGCTAGGGAGGGTAAGTGAACTTGTTGCTTTGTCCTGTACAAAGTACAATATTAGCTGCCCACTTTAAAACTCCATAACAAAACTTTTTATTTTTTTTTATTTTTTTTTGGAGGGGGATAGTATAGTAATAGTGTTAGGAAGGGTTAAAACTTACTCTAACTCAGCTCTGCCTTCAACTTACTAAACCCTAAAAATTCTTTCAAACTTCATCACCTCGGCTCACCAATTCTTTAGCTGAAAGTACTGTTTCCTACTTCAAGGTGTGATGGATTGCTATATACTTTCAAATATCTGAAACATTGTTTTGAGCAGAAATGTCAAAAATCTTGCTGGGGTCATTTTGCTGATTGCCAATTACTGCCCTTTAGCCTTTGCAGTAGTGGAGAAACAACCAGCCCTGGGAACATGTTCCTGAGCATGTTCCTCTGCAGAAAGGGGATTCTGGTTTAAATTGCTACAATCCCAGCCCTGCAACACTTGTGGAGGCAGAAGTGATTCATTACGGCAAGCCACGTAGCTTTCAAGGGGATTGTTCTTTGATAAATATGATGGCTATTATGTATGTGATTTTCAGCTTTTATAATAATTGTGATTGTGAAGCGAGGGAGCACTATGTGAATTGTGATTGAAATGAATACACTATTATCTCTGAACATTGAATAAGAACCTGGATAATCTCTCATAATTCACGATCATCATTGTTTCCAATTTCTTGGGACATCTCAAGGTTTTAGAAAGGTATCTATGGATTTTTGTTCTTCTTTTTCAGTGCAGACAAACTACATGATATTTCTTT